GTGTGTGCGACAGGGAGTGTGTGTGCGAGAGAGAGAGACAGGGAGAGTGTGTGCGAGAGAGAGTGCGTGTGTGTGTGCAAGTGCACATGGAGGGGCGTGGGGTAACAGTTGGTCCTTTCCACACCCTGCTGTGTCTGAGTTTCCGTGGAGACAGGTTATTTTTAAAAGCTGCTTTTGGTTCCGTCAGCATTTCCACCTAAGAGTTTTGTGACTCTCACTTCCCTTCATTCTCAACTCCCTGCCTGGACGATGAACTCAGCAGCAGAGCAGACATTATCCCTCACCCCCTCCCTCCCTCTCTCCATGGGGTGTGGGATGTTAATGAACCCGGGTACCGTTCCCCTTCCCCGAGCGGGCCTGGGCCTGGGGATGGGCAGTGGGTTCTGTGGGCAGGGTCTGAGGCCACTCCGCCTATACCCCGTGATTAATAAGGCACTGAGATTTGGGATTGTCATGGAAATGAAAGGGGGGAGTGTCTGAGGGCAGAGCGGTCAAGTGTGGTTGGGGGGGAGGTGGGGAAGGATCATTCCCGGGCGCTGCTTGGACCGTGTCGGGTGTGCCTGTGCTCGGTGTGTGTGTGTGGGGTTCAGATTGACCTGGGCCTGGTATAACTACCACAGGGTCCTGTGCGAGGGCAAAGAGAGATTGAAGCCAGGATGCAACATCATTGAGACCACACCTTACAGCCGGGCGGCTCACATCAGCGGCGGGGGAACGAGCCTTCAGCATCGTACCTTCATCACGTACCGCAGGGCCACAGAGTGCCAGGCATTCAGCACGCTGGCCGTCACTGACATCTGTATCATCATGCCGAGCAAGGGCGAGGTCCCCCCACACACCTTTTGCAAAGTGGACAAGAATCTCAACGCTGGTGTGGTGAGCATCGGCATGGGGGAGAGAGCGAAAGGGTCAGTCTCACTGACTCAGAGTGAATGACAGGGCCGCACTGTCAGGGGGGTCAGTGACACAGTGACAGGGCCGCACTGTCGAGGGGTCAGTGACACAGTGACAGGGCCGCACTGTCGGGGGTGTCAGTCTGTGACACGGTGACAGCGCCGCACTGTCGGGGGTGTCAGTGACACGGTGACAGGGCCGCACCGTCGGGGGTGTCAGTCTGTGACACGGTGACAGGGCCGCACCGTCGGGGGTGTCAGTCTGTGACACGGTGACAGGGCCGCACCGTCGGGGGTGTCAGTCTGTGACACGGTGACAGGGCCGCACCGTCGGGGGTGTCAGTCTGTGACA